CATTATAAAGGAAGGAGATGGTCCGGGGTTGCGGTCATAAAAAGGCTAAATAGTGGTAAAACTATTTTATTGAAAGCCAACATTTCGACCCGACTTTGCAGGTCTTCATTAGGGAGGTGTGTTCCTCTAGGAGTTTCACTTAGAACTGTGGTGATGTTGGGGTAAAGTCTGCGGTGAGGATCTGATGTTACTTAAGAGTCTGGAACTGCGGCGAAGTGGTGCTGAGTACGTATCTGGCCGTTGTTGGCCCCGTCGTTTTTGAGTCATATTGAATATTTGATGGTTGACCGTTGCATTATAAAGGAAGGAGATGGTCCGGGGTTGCGGTCATAAAAAGGCTAAATAGTGGTAAAACTATTTTATTGAAAGCCAACGTTTCGACCCGACTTTGCAGGTCTTCATCAGGGAGGTGTGTTCCTCTAGGAGTTTCACTTAGAACTGCTAGATTTAGAGCAGTTCTAAGTGAAACTCCTAGAGGAACACACCTCCCTGATGAAGACCTGCAAAGTCGGGTCGAAACGTTGGCTTTCAATAAAATAGTTTTACCACTATTTAGCCTTTTTATGACCGCAACCCCGGACCATCTCCTTCCTTTAAACAACTGTTCATTTAAATCTACTTGTTCTTAAAATTGTATGACAGTAATTTACATGTATTCTGTAGTTCAGATTGTATTATACATTGTAATTGTGTTCTTCACCAATTAAACTCATTTTTTTTAACGACTAAATGTATTATTCCACCTTATATATAAAATGAAATATTACAGTCACTAAAAACCAACAAACATTGCCCTTTGTTGCCAACTTTTAACCATAATATAGGACAGGTATTATTTTTTTCTCATTATTATACGTTAAGAAAAGTCACCAACCGCATGGATAATGTAAAGACACCAGCCTGTTTCACCAAAAGAAAAAAGAAAAGGGAACAACAATGGACTTGCATGAGGAGAATTAAACTCACAAAATTAGAATTTCAATTTTCGGTTAAACTCTAACATCAACCTTTGTCTAAAGAACTCTCTTTTGTAGAAATGATAGCGACAAGTTCATTGCATGACGGTTCATTATAAACTCTAGGATGATCTTTAGGGTTTGTATAAAAGAACTGACTATAATCTCGATCTTTGAATTTCCTACAAAGTTCTATATTTTTCTGTGTATGGATTTGTATTCATGCTTGGTTTTAAATTTGTCCTAACTGTGATTTTATTGTTTTGTTTCAGAGATGTAGTTGCTTTTATTTGTGCCTCCCGTATGCATATGCATAATATGCATCGAGTCAGGACTGTGTCCTTTTAAATCTACATTTTGAGCATTAAGAGAAAGAAAATGATAACACATAATTATAAACTATAGTATTCTACCTAAAATGTTGGCGCATTTCTATTGTGCCAAAAAATACATCTCTAATGTCAGTCGAATAATAATGTAGATGGCAGTTAAATTTTACCTAGGTGACAGCAGTTATTTTTCGATCTAGACATTTCCTCTTCAACCATCAAAGCACCACAGAAATCACTATCTTTTTTAAAATTGCCATTGTCAATATATTCTACTTGTCCAGCTTCATGTAAGCCGACCGATTTGAGCCTTTTATTTTTAATATTTTCATAGTAGGCTCTATTGTGCTTCCTTTTCTTTTCTAACTGTTCAGGCTTCAAGTTTTCAATTCGCCGCCGAGCTCGAAATTTTTTTAACTGTTCAGGATTTAAATTTTCAATTCTTCCCTTATTACGTTTTTTTTCTAACTTCTCAGGATGTAACAATTTTAGTCTTTCGTACACCTTTTTCATTTGTTCTTTTTTTCGCAAAACGCGTTCTTCATCAGTTAAACTTAATTTTTTACGGCCCATGTTAATTATTCCACTTTATATCTAAAATTAAATATTACACGGTCACTAAAAACTTTTTTATTTAACCGAGAGAGGTTTTTCTAACCAATTGTCTCAAATCAAAATATGTCAAATTGACACTAGAACTATACCTAAACACTGAAAGGTTTCAATTAAGTACAATATATTTTTTCATTCCAAAGAGGTTAAGTCAAATTATATTCCTTATCACAAAGTAACTTGACATAAATTAGATCTGATATTTTTATGAGTATCTTTATGTTTGTATTTATGAAAAAAATGTGGAGCAAATTTGTTTACTATCAAAAGATATTTTAAAAATGATTATTAAACAACTCTTTTTTTTAATTGGTAATTGGTTGACTGTCCTGGATAATGAAGAGAAGAATAGTTGGGATGTTCAGTCAAAAAGGAAGGCAAAAATAAACTTTTTTTTAAACTTTTAAAAACTTTTTTTTAAAAGTTTAAACTTAAACTTTTTTTTCATTAAAACAATTTGCAATAAAACATAATTTAATATGTGTGATCAATTTCAAAATTTTTAAAACAATGTAAATTATTTATTAATGTTCTTAGGATTGATAGAACTGCAGTTTTATATCTATATAAATTAAATTAAAGTTAAATCAAATCCACCCATAGCCTTAAATAAACTCTTCCTGATTGAACTATACAGATATTTCACTCTTATACCTCACTATTTCATAATTACTGATTCCTTACTTACGTATTTAATTGATAACATATACTTCACTACTCCACTTAATTTTAATTTAGCGGAGGGTATTATTCTGGACTCCCTTGGGATCATACATCTTCACATATATGGTAATTAGGGGATGATTATCATTATTTATTTATTTATTGAATTTTAATATTTTTTAAGTGATCATATATTTTTGTCTGTGTTGTGTGTGCATTCAAATTTTCTGGTGTTAAAACTTTGGCATTCGAATACTATATATATATATATATATATATATATATATATATATATAATTTTTGTTTTTTTTAGCACTATAAATTTTGAAAATTACCTTGTATAGGTTTCACCAAAATATGTATGTATGATATATTGTATGATTGTAGTTTTATGTATTATTATATTGTTTGAATGTCCAAAAGAAAAGAAGGGATTGATGAGTATGCTGTGTGTCGAGCAACCCTATGTAGTAGGGCAGCATTGCTTTCAATAAAGTATTTCTCTCTCTTTTAATTATTAATTCATCAGAGTTAAAAGTTAACTTATATTTTTTTAATATTTCTATTTGTTTATTTTATAAAACTCTGATGCTCTTAAGCTCACAGTTATATAATTATAAAGGGGCTTGTTCCATAATAAATAAATCATATTTACATTAGGCTACATTAAGGTGATATTTACCTATTATAGATTGAAAGGACTTAGTTGGTTGCATATATTTGTTCTAAAAACGTTCAGACTACATATACATATTCTTAGTCAACTCTTATTTAATTGCCTTTAATGTTTGTCCTTATTCCTTTGCCACACTCCCTCCCCCCAAGCCACAGTCGCCCCTGGTTTACTTTTAGAAACATGACCTTTCAAATTCAATACTTATGATAAGATACAAGGAATTGAGAAAGGTTGTTAGGCATTCACGTGTAAACAAAGTGGTGAATTTTTGGTGAATGGAGGGAGGAGGCTCACTACAATTAATCTGTCTGATCTTCAGCGAACAGTTATGAAATTATTTTTTTTACAGAGCTAACCGTTTTCTCTTTGAACTTTAAACAAAATAAATATTTATGCTAGCCTACCATATTATAGTATGGTGTAAGTATGTGAAATTATTTGCTTATTATAGATTTAAAAGACTTTTTTATTGGCATACATTTGTTCTAAAAACGTTACGACTACAGATAATTTCTTAGCCAACTTTTATTTAAATCAAGATTGTCTTAATAATTTTAATATTTGTCCCTGATTTGCGCCAGCCTAACCCACCCACGCAATAGCTCTATTGACAAGGCGGAGAATCAGAACTTTAGATGAACTATATATTTTCTTCTTTTGTTTGTTTTTTTATAAGGTATTATGATTAATAACTTAACAAATGAATGACTTCAATAAATAAGTTTAATATTACATACACAATTATAATTAATAGACTTAAAAAGAAATATAAAAGTAAAAATTACATATATATTGGTAATTTTAATTACATTAAATTTAAAATTCAGTAAAACAACAATTTTAATAATTTTCCATATTTATTCTCTTTGTACTAAAAGTAAAATTTTGTAGTCTGTAACTGCTATAAATAGTTAACTAAATATGAAAATAGCAGGGGAAAATATGACATTATAAAGAAATAATAGATTTTTATAATCTGTAAAATAACTCAATTTTTACATACAACTTTTTTCACTAACTATAGCAATATTTCAACACTCAATAGGTTAACAAAATAAACTTATATAACATTAGAGATGTTATACATTAAAAACATTTTATTATTAACATTATAGTTTTATTATCAACCATCTTCAAATACAACTAAATTTATAAGACTAAAAAAAAAAAAAATTAATAGTTACAATCTTGCTAAAACAGTACTGACTAATCAAAACTCGTTTTCATGGTAACAGTTACAGCTACTGCCATATTGTTCACATAACCCATTTTGAATGAAAGATCGCTGACTCGGCAGTATTTTCACCTTTAGATGCCTACTATCGTTAACATACCTAGCATCATCCAATATAATGGTGAGAAAACATTGTTCTCAAACACTGTTGTTTCAATTATTATTGGAATTGAAAACAATTCTATTTAACTTTTTTTTTTCCTCATCGGCCCAAGACTTCCCTTGAAGTCCTATACTTTTTCTATTTAACTTTTAATGTCATTCGATTCTCAGATATAATTTTTAAATTCAAACCAATACAAGTGAGTAAGAACCTGCCATGTTTATTCCCAACCCGATGAAGATCAGGTATCCACTTCATTCAGACTAAGTATACCCGAGGAATTTATCTCAACCCAAGAATCAATCTACAGCTATTATAATTATTAGTGTGGCTCTCCAATCCGGTGTCGAATCTTGGTCTCCTTCACGAACTTTCACCAATTATCTCGGTTTCTTGCAGCTGATATCCAATTCTGAAGCCTCAATATATTTGTTGCGTCAGCAGCAACATCGTCAGCCCATCACAGCTTTGGTCTTCCTCTTCTCTTGGTACCATGGAGTGGCTCCATCACCAATTGTCTTAGTGGATCCTCACTGCCACTATCTCAGTCTTGTAATCTTCATCACTTCAACTTTATCAGGCTCCTTAAACATGGCGTACAGCTTCTGGTTTATACTTATGTTCCTATCTCCTCCAATAAGAACACCACCATAGGTACATCTTAGGATTCTTTTTTCATAGATCAGAAGTTCTTGTTCATAAGGTCGGGAAGTAGTTCAAGTCTAACAACCATACAGCAATAATGGATGGACTATCCTCTTATAAAGACATATCTTCTGGACAGAGCTTTACTCTGGAACTGCCTTACCATAGAAAAAAAAACATCAATTTCCTGCTATGATCCTATGTCAAACCTCTTGTTCTGGGGCGTCTTGAGTTTCCAATGAGCCAAGATAATACAAAATCATTGGTCTTCTTGAATTGGCACTCTCCGAAAGTCACCTCCTCTCCAGGTCTAGGCACTTCTCCTGTAACCATATATTTTGTTTTGGCAGTGTTGACTTCCTAGTCAAGTCTTCTTGCAGGACCCACTAGAGCAAGGAAAACGCTTGGTGCAGCCTGGAAGGAGTGTCCTACGATGTCTATATCATCCGATCAACCTAAAGCTAATATAACATAAATATGACAGAAGCTCTGTGAATTACGTCATGATCTGAAAGGTTATCCTGCTAGCAGCTAACAGGTTAATAGTATAAATTCTCACCATCCTCTGGGACAAGACTTTCTCCTTCTAGTTTCACATGAACAAGTCCACCTAAGAATAGGAAAAAGATATTTAAACAAGACAATAAAATGCAACATTGAATTTAAAAAAGAAGAAAAACTTAGAAAATTAGTGTAGTAAAATTTAATTAATCTGTATTTTAGAAACTTATCAGAGTTTGCAAAAAATATAAAATTTAGTTTCTATACCTTATTTGTTATTTAAAAATGTGTTTACTACTTAAAAATAAGCCTTAGTTGTTTCCAAGTGTGGAAATAATTAAAGGACAATAATTTAAAAAAAAAAAACCTGCACTACTACAACCCATGAAGAGTCTGTGGGGGAGGGTTCAGTACTTTGTTGGATAGTACTATCTCAGGGCTAACGGTTGTGCAGGGAGGTGAGTGAGCTCAACCACCAGGTTTTTCTTCTTAATTAATTATTTAATGAAGAGTACTCACTTTATAGAGAGTGGGTATGTCCCAGGAGAGTCTCTCGAACTTAACTGTCACATGCAGAGCTCGATCTGTTGAAAGAAATCGGGAAGAGGGAGGGAGGGAGGGTGACAGAGAGAGTGTGAGGGAGAGAGGGTGAGAATAAATTGGTATATGACCTGAGCTCTTGATTGTGACATAAAAAACTAATATAAATACAAAGGAGTATGTAGTAAGCAGTACAGTCATGGCAGATAGATCAGAAATTATTTGCAGTCTTCATTCAACGATTCTGTTCTCAACGCTTGAGATAATGGCAACCATCTTCGACCATCTCCGATGTGCGCTTTAGAACTAGAGCTAACTGCATTTAAAGTCGTACTGACTGTGGACTAGCTCTCGCAATGTTTTTTTCTCCTAATCCTTTATCTTTTGCTATTATATATTTATGTTTTATATGAAAATAAATTTTATTAAATTATTAAGATTGTACTATATAAAATGTCAAAAAATAAATTGATTTCGTCAGTACATATACGTTCAAGAAATATTACTTCAATTTAAAAAATTAATATCATTCGTTAAATTTGCTCAAACATTAGGATATATCCACGGCTGATGAAACAGAATCAATAATTACCAACCACAACCGGGCTCGACCTGGGACCTAGAGCTTAGCGCAGCCAAGTGCCCAACTAAAGACGTACAACAATAACAAAATTTTAAAAAAGTATTTTAATTTTGAAGTAAGTCTTACCATAATATGTCTCCGATTTTTTCTGTTCTTTCAAACCAACTGCTGATACTAAAACAAAAAACTTTCGTTATTAGGTATAGGTAGTAGATAACAAAATCTGCTACATGTGTGAGCAGACACCGGAAATAACATAACACTACATTCCAGCCTTTAATCATTGAATATAACTAACAAACAGTTATAAGGACAGGATCCCATCATCCTGTCTTCTCCCATCAGATGATTAATCCTTCCGGGTTATATTAGGAAAAGGATTCTAGTCATATTTGAATCAAAATCATATGATCCGACTGTACATGGAATTAGTAAGATGAAATTTAATTAATCTTTGTTTTAAAAACTTTGAAAACTCCAACAAAAATATTAGAGAAATCAAATATGTGGTATAACAGGTGCCTTTTTTAAATGGAGGAAAAAGATAAATATCCAAATTTGGATGAAACAGTACAGAGACAACTTACCTCTAAAAGTCTTATTACCTGAAATTTAAGAAGGCATAGTTTTTAGTCCATCTATTAATAAATAAAGAAAACAGTGTGGAGTAACTTACACATAACGTTTAGGCTATATTGCATGCCAATTACCAAATATCGAACTAAACATAATTTCATTTTTCTAACTAAAAACATTTTTAATCACAAACCCATGTACTATTTGGGATAATTAAGTACTATACTTAAGAATAAAAGGCCAACAATTCAAATATAATAAAATGTATGAAATTGGGAAAACAAATGAAAAGTTGAAACAGTTAATTAATGAATAAAATGATCAAGATTAGAGAAAAATAATAAACTAAATCCAGTTTCCAAGTTTCCATTAGTCAGCAAAACGGACTGCTAGACCAATCTTGGTGCACTTTTACATCCTAAAAACTATTTTTTTTAAATCCTTCAAAAACAGCAGCATTAAAATGAGAAAACTTACAAGCAGATTCAGTTTCATCTGTCTTTTCTTCTTTGATAAAGACAAAGGAGTCAGACATATCTGAAATGCAGAAAACATTCATTTTACTTTGTATAAAAATGAAAACAATCTTTCAAATAACTGCAACATTAAAAGGAGAAAACTTACAAGTAGATTCAGCTTCATCAGTCATTTCTTCTTTAATAAAAACGAAAGAGTCATTAATATCTGAAATGCAAAAATGCTTATATTTTACTTTTTATAAAACAATCTTCCAAAACTGCAATATTAAAAATATAAAACTTACAGGCAGACTCAGTTTCATCTCTCTTTTCTTCTTTAATAAAGACAAAAGAGTCATTCATGTCTAAAACAAAAAACAGAGCTCACATTTCTACGGTTTATTGCATATGTAACTAAAGCAAAAATTTATTGAATTGAAAATATAATTCAATAAATCAAATTTTCAAAGCAAGCCATCATTAGAACGGATGGTCTGCTTTCATAGAAAGGAAAATAAAGCTTATTTTACTAAAAGAAAACAAATAAACAGAGTAACGCTCACAACAGAACTTTAAACAATAAAATGCTCACAGGCAAAAACAAAATCTTATAGTTTAGTTTGATTCATAGTTTTTATCATTTGTTACACGATTATAGATAATATAATAAAATTTGTATAGTAAAATGTGTATAAAAAAATAAAATAAACTAGGGGATGGGGAAGAGGGTTACACCATGTGCACTTAATGACAGACCAACCTCCATTTTACAGATTATAAAACTGTTCATTTAATTGTACTACTCATTACTCAAATCTTATAACTGTAATTTATGTGTAATCTGTAGTTCAGATTATATTATTTTAGATCATCATAAAATGAACAAAACCACAGTTCAGACAAATTTTTAATTTCTTTAAAAATCTATATTATACATTAGGCCTTATAGCCAATTTATATTATTATATAATTAATTATTCTAATAGGGGGGCTGGAGTAGCCATACGGGCTAAGGCCCTGGCAATAGGTAATCAAAGTTAAGCAATGTCGAGCGTGGTGAGTACTTGGATGGGTGACCGTCCACTAGGGAAAGCCAAGCTGGCCGAGTCTCTCTCCCCCCCGGTATATGAGACCCGTCAGCATACTGGAGGCAACTTACACTGACTGGTCGTAGGACTGATGACCATACCCCGTGTACTTAATCGGGAATCGGGATGTGGTCTACCAAGAGGTCAGTAGCCTCCCTCAGGTTCGGTCCATTCCACCAACGGTCTGTTTCGGGGAAAGAAATATAGGTTCTCTTGCGCCTGCTGACTCCGAAGCAGCCATAATACATGGTTCTAGACCGATTTGTCACTGTCCTTGAACCCGAGTGAGTCGGTGGGAATGACACTGACAGATTGGCCCCAAAGGGATCGGCTATGGAGCACCGGCTATCTGCACCGTGGAGACCATGGTTTGTAGCAACATGAGGTTGGGTGACCCCCTCCAGGCCATCTGAGCTCCCGCAAGCTACAAACGTCTGTAAGGAGAAATAATAGTGACTAGTTCATTGCACGACTGTTTATTATAAATTCTAATTTTTAAATAAGACTGATTTTTTAGGGTTTGTATAAAATGACTGACTATAGTCTCTATCTTTGAATTTCCAACAGTTTTATATTTTTCTGCATATGGATTTTTCTTCATACTTGGTTTTAAATTTGCAATACGTTGTCATGCCATACTAATTTCGCTCATTCATGTAAATTTTCGCCGTCATCATAAATGTAAATTTGTCTGAACTGTGGTTTCATTCCGTTTTGCTTTTATTAGTGCCTCCTGTACAATACACATCGAGTAAGGCCCATGTCCTTTCATATACACATTTTTAGCATTAAATGAAATGAATGTAAATGTGTTATAATGAAAATTCTCCCTTAAATGTTTGCTCATCTCTGTTGCATCAAAAAATATATCTTGAATTTTAATCAGATATCCATCTGGAGATGGTAGTTTGATTTTACCTGTGTGACAGCAGTTATTTTTCAATCTAGAAATTTCCTCTTCAAATGACAAAGCACCACAGAAATCACATTCCTGTTTTAAATCTTCATTGTTAAAATGTTCAACTTGTCCACCTTTGTATAAGCCTATCAATTTGAGCCTTTTATTTCTAATGTTTTCATAGTATGTCCTATTGCGCTCCCTTTTCTTTTCTAACTGTTCAGGCTTTAAATTTTCAATTCGCCGTCTCGCTCGCCTTTTTTCTAACTTTTCAGGATGTAAGAATTTCTGTCTTTCATGCACCTTTTTCATTTGTTCCTTTTTTCGCAAAATGCGTTCTTCATCAGTTAAACTTAATTTTTTACGACCCATTTTTATTATTCTACCTTATATGTAAAACATTACACGGTCACTAAAAACTTTTATATAATAGAGAGATATATTGTTAACCAATTATCTTAATCGAAATGTGTCAAATTCAAATTTGGTTGAACCATAAATAAACACAAAAAGGTTTCAATCTAGTACATTTTCTTTCATTCCAAAGAGGTTATGTCAAATTATATTCTTCATCACTAAGTTACTTAGATCAAATATTTTTAAACGTGTCTATTTCTGTTAATGTTTATGAAACAATTTGTAGCAAATTTGTTTACTATCAAAATATATTCTAAAAATTAGGAGTGAAAATTTTACAGCTCAATATTCTTTTTTTAAACTTATATGCAGGGAAATCCTATAATAAATTATAAGTTCATTCAAGTGGAAAATTTTAATCTAGTAATTCTTTTCCACACAGCATCAATCTTAAAAAGACATCCACATTTGAGATATCTGCTAGAGATCTATAAAAATGTGTGTACTAGATGTCCAATTCCATATATTTCTAGAGATGGCTAAAAGATGTACTTTTTTTTTCTATTGGTGCTACAAACCTTAATCTTTGGGCACCTTAATCAGTCTTTTCCATCTCTCCTTTCTATTTTATCGCCATTTCAGGGGTAAGAGAGGAGGAGGGGAGAGAGGTTTTTCTAGAGGCACAACCAAATCTATTCTACTCAGAGTGGGAAGAAGATTCATTCCATAGATCCACCATGAAACAAATTTCAATCCGCGAAGGCCGGATTCAAATCTGCACGGCTAGATTCGAGAATGATGAAGGGGAACCAAGGATTTCTCCTATTTTCATATTCAAGATTGATCCTTATTGGTTATACTCTTGTCTGTTATAAATTCAGAAGGCAAGTATCCTTTGATTGTTGGTTCCTGTGGGTAGATCTAAACACTACACAGGATCAACAGGGCTGTACTAAGTACATCCCAAAAAGTCTGGAAGTAATATAATGCAGCATAAGTAAATCATGACTTTAATTGAAGTTAGAAGCTGAATGCACTGCTAAGAACATTTCATGTCCCAGAAATTTCCGTTATTGTTTCCTCATTTTATAATATTATCATTGTCATTAGAAAAGAATATTCAAGATTTTCTTGAGGCTTGTGCCCTTAACCAACTATTTCCCTGATCAGTTTATATTTAAGTAGGACTGGTTATACTTAATCCATTAAACAGTTTATTATATTTTAACTAGGTTCACCCAGCAATTAATGGGATCAAGAATATAGAAAAAAGTTATGTGAAATCTACATTCTTAAAAATAAAAAGATTTGGTCATGAGGAAAACAATTGTCAATTAATGCAAAAAACAATATGAAACGGCAGACAACCATTGGTAATTATAAAACTATTATTTATATTTTTATTTCTATACGTTTAATTCCATCTGCTGTTCCATGTATTTTTGTATCTATAAGGTGATGACCTTATAACATTTCCTATGGTGTTTCAATAATTCTTTCGTAATTAAAAAAAAATCACTTCAATTATTCTAGTCCTATTGTTTCTGAATACTTCCAATTTATTTTTACTTTTTATATACTTGATTTATTGGGGAGTGGGGGAGTTCAGTTGTAGGGCACTAATCTTCCAATGCTCATGGTAGAAAAATTATTTATTTTGTTTCATTAGCCGTGGGGCGACCCTGGGATTATGAGACCCTCCTGGGGCGCACCCAGCCTCTATATAGTGGGAACTCTTAATTAAGAGGGAAAACCTGGGGGTTGAGCGTGATCTCAGTCAAATTACCTCCTTGCACAAATGTTGTCTAAGAAACAGTACAGAACCAAAGACCCTGTAGCAATACAGGTTTTTTTTTAATCTACTCGATTTCTATTTTTTAAATAAAAACATTTCTTGGTATACTGTTATCTATGTAATATAACTTATATTTATAGTCATTTGTAGCCTTTTAAGTCATATATACTTTTCATCTTTCATCTCTTATTATTATTTATATATATATATATTGTTTTTGATGTCTTCCATCCATCTGCTGATGGCTACAAGAGAAATACAAAACTTTTTGGTTTAGCGCTAGTGTTACTGTTAATAACGTTAGATAATTGTGTTTCCTATTGTTTGTATAATGTCAAATGCACCTTTAGAAAAATTAATAATACATCAGAATTTTAATTTTATTATTAAATTGTCTAATTGATTTTTTTGCTTAATTAGGTTCTTATTAGCCCCGAAACAGAATAAGAGATGGCAGGTAATTCCAGATAAAAAAAATATATAAAATAATCAATCATTAAGTTTTCTTCTTGATAAATTAGTTACATCTTGTATTTTTAAAACACAGAGAACTACATGCAATTAATGGATGCATATTATCAAAAGAATAAAATAAAACAACAATTAACAAGTGATAAAATAAATGAGTAAGAAAATGGTCCTGGGTTGCGGTCATAAAGAGACTAAAAGAGTAAAACAAATATTTTATTGAAAGCCAACGTTTCAACCCGACTTTGTAGGTCTTCTTCAGGAGGTTGTATGCAGTATGAAGTATCGGTTGAAACTGAAACATTGGCTTTCAATAAAATAATTTTTTTGGTATTTTAGTCTTTTTATAACCACCCCGGACCATCTTCTTACTCGATAAATTAAATAACAAAATCTACTGCCTTATTATTGACAAGGTGGAAAATCAGAACTTTAGATGAACTGCGTAACTTCTTGTTTGTTTATATAAGGGATTGTTTGTTAATAGCTTAACAAATGAATGATCTCAATGAATAAGTTTAATAATACATACACAGAATTATAATTAATACACTTAAAAAAAATATATACAAGTAAACAATACATAAATAACAGTAAAATAAGAAGTCAAAATGATCAATATATAGTGTTAGTACAAAAAAAAACATAAATACTTTACATACACATATTGTACTTTGCTACTGTTAGTGCCAAAGGTCCGCATGTAACAATTTCACATGTTTATTCTCTTTGCGCTAAAGATGACATTTTGTAGTATGCTAAATAGGAAAAGAGGAAAGGAAAATAAAATATGAAATTATAGTAATAGATCATAAAGAAATAAATCTCTTCTGTAAAAAAATCAATTTTTACATACGACATTTCGCACTAACAGTAGCTATATTTCAACAAACAACAGGTTAGAAATGTTTTACATTAAAAACTTTTAATTATTCTCTTCACATTATAGCTTTATTATCAACCATATTTAAATGCAATAAAATTTACATGACTAAAAAAGAAAAATAATTACTATTTACAATCTTGCTAAAACAGCACTGAGAATCAAAACCCATTTCCATGGTGACAGTTGTAGCTACTGCCATGGTGTTCACGTAACCTATTTAAATGAATAAACGCCGACTCGTCCGTACTGCCGCCTTTATATGCCTACTATCATTAGCTTACCTAACTTAATCAAATAAAATGGTGGGAAAACATTGTTCTCAAACACTGTTGTTTCAATTATTTTTTAATTTGAATATGATTTATAAACTTTAATTTTTTTTTTACATATGTTATTAATTTATTTTATTATATATTTATTTCAATTAAATTACTAAATTAAATTCAACTTCTATACTTTATCCAACTTTAGCTCCACGTTATTTTTTGGAACGCATCCCTAAAGTGTGTTCTGAGACACCAGTAGCCTACGAAACTTTTCTTAACAGAAGAAACATGGAATGAGCTACTCCCAAACCTCTGTTTTAATTAATTTAAATACATTCATAATTAGGTTTTTTATATTTACGTTTGAAGGTAAAAAATTCATGGTATACTATTTATCATATGTAATGAGAGCATTGGTAATATTAATTGCTATTTGCTAAGACAGTATATGCATTTAAAAGATTAAATTCTTCACCGCTTTAGAATCTCCATAAGGAAATTGATGAGGTTTCTCACCTAAATGAAGAAAATCAATTTTTGACGCTTCATAGTCATAATTAAGATACAGATGGAGCTTTGCATCTTAACGAAGGGTCATTATTTGTCTTTACAAGATAAAATTCTTTACGCTTTATAATCTATATAAAGAAATTGACAAGATTTCTTATCTAAAAGAAGAAACATCAGTTTCGGCAGCTTTAGGCACATTTAGGACACTGATGAAGCTTAGCATCTTAATGAAGGGCCATTATTTGTCTATATAAGATAAAATTCTTTACCGCTTTATGGTTACAATTTTCCTCATTGTGACTATAAAACAGTTAAGAATTCTAACTTTCGACAGCCTTATTTGGAATCCACATTCACTGTAATTGCCTAAATGATGAATAGATATATTTACCACATTATAATTCAAATGAGAAGACTTTCATGATGATTTTGGTGTAATGAAGATAAAAAAAATTCATGGTATATTGTTTATCATCTGTAATGAGAGAATTTAAAATATTAATTCCTCTGTGGTAAGACATTATATTCATTTACAAGATAAAATTCTTTACCGCTTTATAATCTCTATAAGAAAATTGACAAGAATTCTCATATCTAAATGAAGAATCTCAATTTCTGCCGCTTTATAGTCACAATTAAGATACTGCTGAAGCTTCACATCTTAACGATGAGTCATTTTTTGTCTTTATAAGATAAAATTCTTTACCGCTTTATGGTTACAATGGTCCTCATTGTGACTATAAAGCGGTAAAGAATTCTAACTTTCGGCAGCTGTTTTTTTGAAACCATGATGACTGGAGTTTTGTAGTCAAACCGGTAAATCTCCTGTAACTTGAAAAGAATCTAATAATAATATTAAAAATAGAATATGGAAATAAAAAACACATTAAAATATCACAATTTTAACAGTTATATTTTAACTATGTATGAAAATTGTTAACAAATATTGATAATAATTGCTAATTGTTTTGTTAGCATAATAATGAAAAATATTTATTATAACGGAAGTTATTTTAATGACATTTGTTGCGATAACACTTACATAAAATGTTATTATTCAATTCAATTGATTATACAGCTTTTAGTTAAGTTAGTTAAAAAAGTAACATATTTTTGCAGTATGCTATTATAGAGAATAAATG